TATATTCAGTTATAATAAGAATTATATTTTTGGTCTAAAAATATTTTCTATTTTTATTTTTAATCTCTCGTTTCCAAAAGAAAAGGAATATTTCGAGAAAAGTCAAATTCCTCTTTCGAATCCACTTTCGCGACGCGTTTCTTCATGGGAACGAGTAAATCGCGATTTCACGCTCGATCTTCTTTTCTTTGATCGTTTTACGAGATCGATCAGTTTCTTTTTTTCGATTTAATCAGCCGCGTTCGTGCTCGAGGACAACCACGGATCCATCCCGAACGAGAAACAGGATTAATCCGATACAAATAGATTTAAAAGAACCCGTAAGATAAATCGAATTATCCGTTCGAGTGAATTGATTCGAATTAGCAAGATTATGGTAACTTCACCTTAATATTGCTAGAATTACGGACGTATACAATAACCAAGTTTTTATAACCGCTCTATATATTATATTTTCAAGTTTACCTTTATTCGATTTTTACGGTTCCAGCGCTTTTATTCGGTTTCCTTGCTCTTTTTACCTAAATATTTCACTTTTTGTACAGTGATTATCGATCGAAGATGAAATCACTTGAGAAAATAACGAATCGAAGCCATTTTTTTCTATCTTGCATCTTCGAGAAATTGGACGAACAGAATTAAATATTTATACGAGTCAATAATAATTATTTTAATCTTTGCAAAAACAATTGATCCATCCATCGATAACGAAACTAATTAGGATCGGAACGTGAGACGGTTCGCTTCGTATACCTCTACCCATCCATTATCAGTTCCGTGTATCAAACTCCCTTTCGTGCATTTCTCCACGAATAATACCCGAGATTCGCATATTTTTCTCGAAAAAGATAAAAGATCGCATCAGAAAAACAATCTCTTTCTTAACCTTTCTCGTGTCACCAACAAGCGTCTTCGCTCTGTTTTAAAACGAACTTTTAAAAAAATAAAAGCCGGCACGATGCGTTTAAAAAGAGGGAAAATAGACTGAATGGTGGGATGCGATAACGATCGAACGAGCCGTGTTTCGCAGCGAGAAGAACTCGCTCGAAGCGATCGATCCTCAATGTCACGTGCACGACACGCTCGTGCGAATCATTTACCGAGAACGCGAGATCGTTTTCTTTTTCTCCGAGTTTCCAGGACGGTGCGCGTGTCGCGATCAATACGGCCGACAGTCGCGTGCAACCACGTCGTTTCGAGAGTGTGTCGTTCGATCGGAAGCGCCCAACGGAATAGTTTTCATCGGAAGAATGCTACGTTTCAAGTAGATCCCAATTTCGTCCGATTGGATTCGAATCCTCCGCCTCATCGAACGGACACAAGCATAATAATTGCTTCTGAATAATATTCGAGATACGTAAAAAACGTGAAACGTGAAACGTGAACGTTCCGACGAATCCTTAATCCCCAGTCCTTGGAACGTATTTTCTTTTCGAGGGGAACGATCGTACGCTCTACTGGTCGCGTACGTACGATCACTATGCCCGTGTACCGTCGAATTTTCTCGCATTGCGGAATGCGATCGTTCGCCATTCGTCCTCTCCGACTCTTTCGACGTTTCGAACAGCTCAAGGCTGTTGGCGCCGATCGTCACCATCGTTCCTTATCATCGTAACCAAAATAATCTCGAACACGGGCCAAATTTGCATCTCGTGGTGAAAATTTCGATGAGCGAGAATTTGGTAATTCCAAACCTATTACGAGGTTAATCATCGTTTCGTACGCAATAACGGATGTTTGTAGTCGAATCGATCCACGAGATTGCGAGATCGAGTGAAAGTGTATGCGTTCATACACTTGGATATGTTTATCGTGACATGGACTTTGATCGTACCTCGCGTGCAACGCGTTATTCGACAAGTATCCCTCGGGATGCGACGAGGTTTGGGAGTGTAAACCAGTTTTCACCTCGAAAAATTCTCCTCCATTCCCCGTACCTACGTACCGGGGAATAAAAATGTCGCTGGATGACCTTCGCCTCCGGAATCGTTCCATCGACCGCTTTCGTTTCCAGTTTATCGCGCTGGATAACGTCGGCTCATTCTCATTTTATGGTGCGAACGGTTGCTCGTTCCGGTCCCAGAGTTTCCATTTCGTAACACTCTCTCCCCGTTTAATAGGAGGAGAAATTGTGACGCTCCGACACTCCTCGCTACTGCCCTGAATTTTCCCTTCGTTTCGAATGTCGCGCGTTCCTTCATCCGTGTGTATCGTATCTGCGAAAGAAAAAATCGTATTATTTTTCGCGCGTCGAGGAATTGGCGCAACAAAAATATATACGAATACGAATAGGTATTCTCAACTTATTTTCCAACCGCTTACCAATTTCGATTCCAATCCAAAGATTTGAATGGCATTCTTGATCTCGCGCGCGAAACGTGGAGCTAGGTGCAACATGCCAGCAGGGTATCTAGGTTACGTTGCACAACGTGTCTCTACGTGTCTGGTGACGTGTCTACCGAGCAACCATTCTCAAGCGGTGCATAGCAAACGAGATGGTCGAGTTCCCTCGATGCAACCGCCTGTCCAAGTCCGCGGATTGGTGAACGGGATCGGTAACCGGTATTTAGAACGGCTCCATTGTCCGATGCCGGATTAATCGCGTGGCGTTTCGTTTACCATTTCGGCCAACTAGCATCAAGATGACTCGACGATGGATCTCGGATTCGATAGTTATCGAATCCATCTTTTCGACCGTGACGATTTCGTCGGAATCCCCGTTTCGAGCCATTACTCCATTTATCAAATTTTCGTTATCAAGTTTCGTGGGCCACCGCCACCGCGATAACGATATGAACGCGAGCCATCCGATTCTTTCGTCCGAGCCTTGTTTTATTTTCGAGTTTCGGGAAATTTCGAATCTCAAATCGGATTCTCTTCCATCTATTTTTCGCGAGTAAGTTTAAAAATCGAGGATAAAAATTGCCGTTTCGCTATCGTTGTTTATCAGAAGTCAAAATGACAAGTTAGCTGCGATAACGGTTTTAACGATAAATTCGTAATATCGGTATATTTTTCTCAGAGGTTTGCAATTGGAGATTTTTAACCGGATTATTAACGTTCTCACGAGACCGAGCGGATGGAGAAGATGGCCGGTGAGTCTCGATTCAATGGTAAACGAGCGACGCCTTCTTCGTCTCGGTTACGTCACTCGTTTGGCATTGAATTCGATCGATCGGGCCGATTCTTTTCCGTGCGAGATTACGAAGCAAAGATTGAAGTTGGATAAAAAGACCGCAAAGACGTAAATACTGCGTGCTAAAAGGCACGAACAAAGAAAGAAAGATATAAGAATATTCTCATTGGGCCACCATTAACTCGATATCATTATCTTTTATCCGAAATGAAGGAAATTTATCTCGTGCAAATGGAAAAATCTAATTTCGCATCGAACCGAGGAAGTAATAAATTTGTAATTACTTTTTAACAAGTTGAAGAAGAAAATATTACTTATCGTTCCTTCGCAATTAATTTAATTCGATCAAATTATTCGAAAAACTTAGTTATATACGTTCGAATTCTTTCTCCAAGTAGAATGAAAATGAACAGGGTCTTAGTCATCCCGCTTATCAAATCTCCGTGCACGAATCTAAAAAGGAGGAAATTTCCGCGCAGGATTGGGTTGATCGAGGAGACAAGAAAAGAGGGATTAAGCAAAGTACTTATTTACGTACTCGGTGTCGAGCTCGAGGTTCCGTACGTGAGGTTACTACCAACGACCGTGCTCGCCTTCTTCCGCGCACGCTTCATCCTCGCGACATGGTCACCGTGTACACCGTTTGTCATGCCTCGGACAGAGTCGAGAGACTTTCGAGCCGACGATCGCGAATTCTGACTCATCGAGATCACCGTATCTCGAAAATCTCGTCTTCTCTCCGAGCAATGCTCTGCTCTCGAAAGAGCAGCGATGAGGCGGAGAATAGGACGGAGAAGCGGAAATGTTTGCAGGGTTTCCGAAACGAGTCGGGTTTCGGCGTATCGATTTCCTCTTGAATTTTTCTCCCTTCTTCTTTCGATACCTCGATGGGGATCGATGAAACGAAAACGCGTCGATACAACGAGATTTCGAAATGTAATTCAGATCCGTTGATCCACGCCTTTACGATCTCGTAATAGCAATGTAATACGATTCGTCATTACTTTGTAGTTTGCAATTCGCGCGAATAATTTCAACGTGTGATCTCACACGTTTGGAAATATAAATCGTCAATGCCATCGTCATCGAATTTTATATTCTTCGCGAGTTTTCGTATGAAGCAAAAAGTAGTCGAATATATACAATAAGAAAGGATCTAGTTACCGAGCGGAACATTTGTATTCCGCGAGAGTTTCAACAATAGATTTATTCTCCTCTGTTTCCTCTGTCGTTAGAAATATTAAAAAATTTCCGTTGAATCGCGATCTTTCTCTTAATCTTAACGTTGCGAAAAACGTGAAATCGACGATAAATTTTTCTAAATTCGGATAAAAGGCACGCAATTGAGATAAAGTTTTAGCGATAATGTATCTCAAGAACAAGAATTTCTTCCGAATCCGCGTTCCGTCCAAACGAAGGAATGGCCGATTCGAGGTTTTCGAGATTTGCTTCTATAAATTCATATTCCCGGACGCTAAGAGGGCGTTCGAGGGATAGGTTTTCCAGGCACGAGTCGCAAAAGAAACAGCGACGGATTCTCGAGAGATGGATGGTTAAATAGGATACAGAAGGAGGAAGATTCCGAGGGGCGAAATGAAATCGTGAAGCGGACGGTTCGAGAAGCAAACGTTTTATGCATATGCAAGGAACGCAAGCGAGGACGGTATATAGACGGGAGTCTAGATACGGATTAACTATCGTAAATTCTGGCGAAGTCGTTCGCTCTTTTATCCGGTCGACCTCGAGAAAAAGGACGAGACGAGACGAGACGTCGTTTTGCTCGAACGACGTGCTTCGAGCATCGATCGAGGATTTCACGGGATAATCCTAGTCGGTAGCAGGCGTCCTTGGTAGTAGGGATCCTTCGCATGCTCGTGCAGAGTCGCGTGCCCTACGCGTTGCCCTCAGCTCTGACGTCATTAAGCGCGACAGCAATCCCACGAACAAAACGAATAAGCGAGATCGTGTACGCGCTATTAAATTTCCCGCACCCGAGACGGGAGAGAGTTTTATTCGACTCCTCGCTGCGCCGCTACGCAATCTATCCAAGTATTTACGACCAGCTTTGCCGCCATCTTTTTTCATATCTGTATCCGCGTTTCTTTTTTGCCTCCAAGCATCTAATCGTCGCGTGTCCTGCAGGGAGCGGGGGAGAGGGTAAGAATACGAGATGCTTTTTCTTTTTCTCCCCTCTGGCATCTGGCTATTCCGAGCCGAGGGAATAGTTACAAAAACACGCGTTATATTATATTATCGCGTTCAAACATTATTACGTTAACTTTTCATCTTTGTTATTTTATCGTATTACATTACGTTGTACGTACGTCGATTAAGATAATATACGCGTAAACAATTTTTTAACGCGTATACGTACGACATAATCGTTAAATTTAATCATCCTTAAGATCTCGTTACGTATCGAACGAGACTTTATTCTCGGACAATGGAATTGTCGGAGCGAGTTTAAAGTTCGAAATTAACCTTAAACAGAGTTATTCGAGAAAACGTATATTTTACGTAGGCCGTGCGAACGAAACGATACGAAGCATCGCGTGTCTTTGATCGATTTTAAATATTTCATAGCTACGTGTCGATATTCCGAAGGAAGGAGTGACGGGCGTGTCCATCCAACACGCCTAGGCCTTGCCTTCAAGGTGTTCCTCTCGCCTTTCGCACTTGCTCCTCTTGCTTTCGCACTTTCGACGCCTCGAGATCTCGTCGCAGCGATCTCCAGTATTTCGGTGCGACGACGCGTCTTAAAAAATGCGACTGTCGCTTTCGTTTCGACTGGGTGTCATCCGCGAGCGAAACAATCAAACAATCGATTCGCCCAGAAAGGCCAACCAACATCTTTCTTTCTTTAGTCGCGGATAAATCGAAAATATCGTATGAATAATTTAACCCGAGAAAGTAATTATCAATCTCGATTAAAAATCGATCGATTTGCGTAGACCATATTTTATGCGCAAAAATACAAGAATTTATGGCGCGCTTTTTTGATTTTACTAGATAGATATCGTAGATATGAAAACTCGGATAAAGGAAGGTATTCTATATAAACGTAATGGTGCTCGACAGAATTTTCTACGCGAATTTCGATGGCTTGAATCAATTTCGAATTTCTTCCCACGAAAATTCCATAATATTCGAGTTGAGGAAGGAGAGAGGAGCGAGAGAACAGAGAATTTTCCCTTTGCTACTCGAGATATCCTAATTACCGGAAATAAAGATGATCAGCGGAAAAAAAATAGAACGAACTTGGGCGATTCCAGTTTAACAAAAATTGATCGCCTGCCAGCCAATTCAACGTGGATAGGAATCGTGTTCAATAGCGCTGGACAACTCGCTCGAGCGCGCGTGTGTGGTCCCTCCAGCCATTTCTTTCATCGTTTCCTTATCTAACGATTTATTGCGATAGTATTTGCGAGTCGAAACGAATCTCTCGATTCCCCTTCTGGAAAAAAATCAAATTTTCCCCCACCTTTTTGAATCGAACGATATAATCGAGAATTTGATGAAAAAAACGAGGTTGACGTACCGTGCTTTTACCGTTAAATCGGCAAAGCGGTTTCCACAATTTAGCCGTAATAATCCGATCGTTCCGCCCGCGAAACGATTGGGCGGGTAACGTTCGGGAGCCGTCGTATCGAACCAAAGAGTCGGGAGAAACCTTGCGGCCAATCGCCGCTGTTTGCCAATGAATCATCCGGTTAACAGCAGCCTTTCTCGTCATTATACTTTCCTTATCGCCTTACAGCTCCAAGACCAGTCTCGGCGACCAACCGCTAACGTTAAATACGAGCGAGCGTCGCGTTTCTTTATAACTTTTCCACTTTGATTTTCCAACCATTCCAACCGATATTCTTCAATCCACCACTCTCTCTCTCTCTCTCTCCCTTTGTACTTGCTCATTTCGATGCGAGAACAAACGATACGTCTGTGGACAATTTTTCCATTCGGACAGTCGTCGAATCATCGTTATCGCATCGTACGGGGAAAATTAAAAATCTTAGATCGAAGAGCGAAAGAAACGCGGGACGATTCGATTTTCCTCTTTTTATCCATGGAAATGAATCGTGGTTTCCACGTTTATCGGAACTCGTACGACAACTTATCGTCTTTTATCGAAACGTTTATTCTTACGTAACGTGGCGTGCAAACGCGGAACAACGCGATTGCGGCGAACAAACGAAACGCGGGGATCTATCTCGGTGGCCATGTTCCGGCCAGATTTCAACCGCGTATTCAGTCGTCAAAGAATTAACAGTGCGCTACAATCTCGTAATATCGGATCACTTTCACGAAGAAGAAGAAACCGTGAAACGAGGTCGTATTACGTGGAGCACCTCTATCCCTTCTCGTTTTCCTCCCCGTCTCTCATCGGCCAACGAATAGCCACGGATCCAAGAATTGGGGTAATCGAATTGAAAAAATAATTTACAAATATTCGTAGATGTTTTCATTAATCATTTCTGGTTCCGTTACGTATAACGTACAAGTCACGATCTTCGATAAAAATTTATAAATTCACATTCGTTCATATTTCTTATTTATCCTGTCCATCGATGCTTCAAAACTAAACACTTTTATATCTTTTGTTCAAATTCTTTGTAATTGTATCTTGTATAATTAACCTATACTATTTATTTGATTAATCGTAAATTGAATATCTACACTTCTCGTCCATTTCCATCGAACGTGGATGAAGAGAGCGTATAAATCGTATTATTACAACGTTTAAAACGAAATCTAAAATTCGATTTATTCGTCTCTTAAATATCGTTGTTCGATTCACGATGCGATTCAATTTTCTATGCGGCGTAGCGCATCGATCGTTAATGCAATACATGTGCAATGAAGAAATGAAAGACCGATACGGAAACGGAGAGATTTGCCGGGAAGTAAATATCGGAGAGTACAGCATTGTTCGATCCGACTCGATTCTTTCCGTATCGAAGGTGCGTGTACTTTAGCAACGAGGAACGAGAAGTTGGCGTGGGCGTGGAAGTGCACCATCCCACGGAAACCAATTCCCGTTGTTTGCTCAACGCGGTGTATACGCGCCTCGTTTGCGATTCTCCCCTTGTTCCGAAGGCAAGGAATTTTCGTCGAGGCAGGCGATTGAAATACGCGATGGATAAATTTTCCGTTAACCGTTAAGCCAAACGATATTTCTAGAAATATTTATCTAAAATCCACGTATCGTTAATTCGAAGAACGATTCCAATCCATTTTTAATTTATACAATCCCTCTTTACACAATTTTGATATGATCGCGAACGAGACATTACGTCTCTAATAACGTAGAATTAGAGGAACGTGGAATATAGACACGATTGTGGAAGTCGTATAGCAAGCTTGTTCGCCTGGTTATTTCCTTTCGATGTACCGCTACACCGGATGAACAAAACCTAGGAGAGATTTCTATCTATGTACTACGAAGACGCGCGGCAACGAACGCGCGGACATCGTTAATTATTTCATCAATCGCACGCCATCGATATCCTTTAGCAATTTCACGCTGAACGTGTATCGCGTATCATGGGAAGAATTATCGCGGATTTAAAAGTATTCCTTAATTGTCAGCTGCCAGTATTCTCTTGGTTGCGCGCGAGGTTTAATTAGCGGTATGGGATGTGGGAATCTATTAGGGAACCGCTTTCGGCCAATCGTCGTATCGTACGAAATGATTACCCTCCAGTTAAGGACACGAATAAACATTTAAACGCAGAGCATAAATTTCTTCTATCCTATTTCGATCTATTCCTTCGTATTTCGTTACTCGTTTTACATTTTTTTTTTTTTATTTATTTATCATTACCTTGCCGAGTCACCCACGCATCTTTTACATATTTTAGTTTCTCATTTATTTATATTAGTTGCTTATATTTTTATTCTTTGTTTCATATTATTTCGTCTATTTTCCTTCGATTCGTATTTGCCAATTTACTCAATAGAATTATATTTGCGTCAAATATTACGAATTTAAAAACAATTTTGCAAACACGGTGATTACTTAAACGTTGGAAAAATTAATCTTTACTACTACTTCAAAGATATCAAAGATAAGATTATATTATGCAATATACCTTTATCATCGAGTAATGTAAATAAATTTTCGCATCGATTTAAAAAATAAATTGAAAAAAAAAGAATTCGGTTCGAAAAATATCCGATCGAGATGGAGATAAGAGAGGAGAATGCTGCGAAGATGGAAGGTGACCGTTCGCCTTTGGGGATAATTTTCATCCGAGGTCGCGATGTTACGCGCGGTCGAAACGGCTAAGGAGCACGCATACCGAGTCGCTCGCGTTCGCACGACCCGCGTTCCTAGAACAAACCCCAGTTATGGGTTTCTGTAAACTCGAACAGGTAATTCCATTAGCGAGCCGCGAGTGGGTGTGTTTGCGGCTGTATGCGCGCGCGAGCGCATGTGTAGAAGAGAAGAGGCATCGTTTTACAGTTAACCCGAGAGAATTTTTGTAGGAAAAGCAACGCGATCCTTGGAGAATCACGTTTTACTTCGAGTGGTAAATTACGCGACGATTAACGCGATCGTTTTCGCTTATCGCCCGATTATTTTATATTCGATGAGTTTTAAATCGGCGATCGCAATCCCTCTAACGTAAGGTAACGTAAGGTACGGAGTGGTATGGCGCGATAAAGGCTTTCGTAGACGATACGAAAATTTTCATGACCGAGCGTATATATCGCCGACGATAAATCTCACGTTCGCGCGATACATTGGTTACCCTTGGTGTCGGGCTACCGTATAAAGATGCTACGTTTAATGCCACGATATACGTGTCGCGATAAAACTCTATAAAACGGATGATTTAACTTGCAACGATACGAGACAATTCGATCTCGTTTCGCTGCTGCTACTTACTTACTTACTACTTCGAATACTTTGTCGGAGGACAATCGTATCGCACGTCGGTCGGCTGACATTTCTGTCGAATTGCGAAATTGCCATCGGCTCCTTATTGTTCCCCATCGGTTCCTTATTGTTACGGGGTGGTAGGGAGATCATCTTCGCCAACGATCCACCGGAGTCGTGACCCAACGCGATCGTCCTTGATCCGAATTTTAACCGTACTCTAATAGGAATTCTCCTCGTCGTATTTCGCGTCCACTTTCCACGCGAAATACATTCTATCGGCGCTGACCGAAACGCAGCACGATCCCTCAATTATCGCGAGAAATGCCGTTACGACGATAATCGCGATCGTGATCGACTCGCCTTTATGCCGTCTCATCCATCGCCTTTCTTTCTTCCCGTTAACGATTTCGTCCACCGTTATTTTTGCCCGCGCCCGCGCGCCCCCTTCCGATAACCCTCCCTCTCGGTGGGAATCGCCGAAATTGCTTCACGGCACGAAGGGACGAGAACGATTATTGCACGCGATTGGCTGTAATTAGAGCGTGGGTTCCGTACAATTTCGCCGAGGTAATACGTCTCTTTCCGATCCTATGCGTCCGATTACATCTTCGTCGCGATTAAACCGTGTTTAACCGCGAGGTACGGGTCACGAGAATACGTAAGTGATACCTAAGTAATTAGAAACCATCGTACAGGTGGGATTAATCGATAATTACGACGAGTGTAAATATTTTTTCTAGCCACGTATATACGTCGGAAGGAAGGATTCGTCACGTCGTACGCTACGTTGTATCGTCGAGCGCGGGGTCGTAAATCGACGGGGCAGACGAAGGGGCAGAGAAGAAGGGAGATCGTTTGGGTGGAAATCCGGATCGGAGGGAATCGTTAACACCGTTCGGCGTTGGCCGATTCCGAAAGGAACAAGCGTGATTCTAGGTTGAAAAGCGAACGACACGCCTCGAAAACGACATTCGAACCATGCAAATCGTCGTGATGGCCTCTAAGATCCGCGCGGCATCGGGGTCGTGCGAACCGTAAACTCCGATACGGACGTAAAGTATAATACTGGTGCTTTTCGAGTGGGTTTAAAAGACGTGGTGGCGGCCGACCGACGAAGGAACGGGTCAACCTTTCCGATCTGCGAATCGACACGACTCGTAAAACTCGTTCGAGCGGCGTGAACGCCATACCACGAGAGCGGCTCCAATCCCGCGCGGACCGTAAATCCTAATACCGGTGGGGGAGGAGGGAGGCGACCAAACGGCCC